CGGTTCCCTTTTCTTTTGGTTTTGGGGTTTGGGGGGGGGTTGTGTTTTTTGTTTTTTTTTTTTTTTTTTCCTTGTAAAATGCCCACAGTCCTTCAACCCATCTCCCATCCTGGCAATGATGTTTATACTACACATTCTTCTACCGTTTCATGCAGCCGGCGCTATCGCAACTATGCTGAATGAGGTTCCAGCCTAACTACAATATTAACCCTGCAAATCTGTTCATTTTCTCCCGAGCAGCCCCAGGCTGGGTATACAGGAGAATGTGTCCAATTGAAAAACTATTACAGGCTCGGTGGTGCTGCAGTGTGCTAAATTGCAACAGGGCTGTGTTTTTCTGCCAGAGAGGATCCTGCTAAGGGAGGTGGTGGTGTCTGTCTCATACAAGTTACAGAATTTGTTTTTCATTTGAGTCTCAGCCTTTGTTGATGAATTTATTTAAATTATTTTTTTTCAAACTGTTTGTCTGCTTTAAAGTACTGAAATGTGTTCCCTTCCTTGCACCCGCTGCTTTCCTCCCACTAATCATCCAATGTGTGGTGGTGGTTATTTTTCTTCCCCCCTCCCAGTTTGTATCACTCCTTGCCATCTTGCTTTCACCTTTCCAGTTGTTTTTAATTTTTTCTTCATTATTTTACTGAATATCATACTGCAGATCAGTAGCATCTTGGGTGGTGGTTGTACCACATAGCATTTATAGCAGACATTAGTTTTGCATAGCGTGTGTACCTTATTTTGTCTGGACTTGTCTTCATTGCGCTGCAGGCACCTCCTCGAGCAATTGTAGTGATTAAGCCTGGTATTTCTGCAGATTTATATTAACTTCTGCTTATAAAGAAACAGAAGAAAACCCAACCCTTCCCCCCCCAACATCTAAATTAGATGTTTTTCTTCGTCCCCTTCATTTTTATCAGTATTTGACCTAAGCTCGCTTTGGCGTATGAAAGAAAATTAGTTAAGTACCTTGTGGTTTACAGATGCCTTTTGTTACATATTACTTGGATTTATTGTGCAACACTGGCCCATAAATCATTTCAGTTAGACATTTACCTGGCTCGTGTTGCCTTTATGGTTTGAATCTTTTAACAGCCATGAAAAATGGAGAAATGGGGTTTTCAGTGGCGAAGGACTTTGCTGGCCCGAGTACCCTGTAATACTCTCTCACGGCCATGCCTCGCTTCTGCAGGCTGTGCTGCCCGGCTCTGCAGAGATGTTTACAAGGAATCCATTACCTTTAAGGACTGAAAGACGTGTCGAAAGAACAAAGAGAGTTTTGTGATGAAGTGTATCTGACTTCTTGCTGCTTTGCTTACCTTTTAAATGTAAAACTTAGTCATTTGCAAAGGGCTTTTTTGCGTTCTCAAGGCATCCATCCATCCTTCCATCCCTCCATCCATCCATCCCTGCGAGATGCCGCCCCGGATGGAGCTTTCCTCCAGTCGCAAGCGGGGGCCAGTCTCCAAAACCGCTCTGGAATGGGTTTCTATTTTAATCCCTGACTTTGAAGGCAGCCTTGCCTTACTGGCTCCAGCGCATCGCCCTGCCCTGCCCCACCCCGCGCAGGCTGGGGCTGCTCTTCCCCCAGCGTTCCGGCTCTTCCTTTGTGACTAAAACTTGGTTTCATCAGCAAAGCATCGGCTCCGGCTCCCGCTGGGCTCGGGGAGCTCTCCTGCCTTTGGGGAAAAGCCTCTCCAGACCTGCAGCCTATGCGGGGCGCGCAGGGGCATCTGTCGCCACACGTATAACTTTTTTTTTAAATGGAAAATGCCTCTCTCAAAGGCTGCCGATGTCCAGTGGTCTGCAGTCCATGAGCAGTTGACTAGCCCAGGTGTTTCTGCTTCTGGTTCCGTGCTATGTGAATTGGGAGTTCGAGAGAAGAGTGTGCAGGATGGAGGAGTTGAGGGTTTGTATTTCTGACTGCGTTCGGCAGTGTTGGAGGGCTTGGGAAGGAACAGAAAGGCTACCTGGGGTCATCTGCATTAAGGAAAACAGGAATTGTGCTCAGTCTTTCTCTCCGTGGCTCTTTCTTTCAGAGCCTTTAGCAGCTCTTAAATACGAGAATGAGCTTTTTACTTTTTCTTTTTTTTTTTTTTTTGGTACGGGTTGTCTGTCACGAGCAGTATTCAGGAAGAACTGGCTTCATCGAACGTGATTTCTGCTTTGTGTTTTATCACTGCATTTTGCCCCGCTTGTTTAAAACGTAACCAGTTAAGACTTTTAGAGATGGACTGATATTTTTATTTTTTTTTTAAAACTGCCAAATATTTGTCTGTGCTTAAATAAGACGAAAATCAAAAGCTGAGACTACGCGACAGTGCTATTGACTCGAGGCTGTGGGTTTCTGTGAGGTTTTTAAGGAGATCATTAACCCGGGTCTATCTCTTCACAGGACAGTCGGCCCAATATGTCAAGACCTCTGATCACTAGATCCCCTGCATCTCCATTGAACAATCAAGGCATCCCCACTCCAGCACAGCTCACAAAATCCAACGCGCCAGTTCACATTGATGTGGGTGGGCACATGTATACCAGCAGCTTGGCCACGCTTACAAAATACCCCGATTCCAGGTAACTTTAAAAAGCTTGTTCTGCATGTCTTTGGCAACTCCTTTTCTTCCATTTCATGCTTGGACCTCCTGGGGCTGTCTTGGAATGATACATTTAAGTTTCTTTTGTTTCAAAATTAAATTAGGTTTCTTTGTTGGTAGGAGGTTAGAGACTGACTTTCCTTTCCCTGCTCCACTGTGTTTCAGCCAAATGGCACTCCTGCAAATCCCTATGTGTATGTACTAGAACAAAGTCAACGGCAAAGAGCACTTACTTTCTACCTCCTAGAATTCTGGTTTTGTGCCAGGGCACCCGTTCTGTGGTTTATTACACTGGAAAACCGTAGCGATACTGCATTTAAGTCCCGAGGAGGGGGTGTTAGGATATTTGTTTTGTTTCTTTCGGAGCAGTAACCGCTCCCCCGTAGTACTCACCATGTAATCTCCGATGTGTCACTTGAGGTAAAAGCAAGGTTGTGTGTAACAAAATATAGGACAGCATTAACTGAATACTTTTTATAGAATCTTAGGACTTTGCAAGTAATGAGACTCTTAACTCTCATGTACCTTCTAAATGAAACATTTGTGACTGTGGTAGCTTACTGGTCTTAAACAGTTAGAAAACTTCCACGTGCGTGAGCAAGTGGTGTGTGTAGAGCAGATGAAATGAAGAGTGCAGCTTTAAGAAAACAGCCATGCATTGAACAGTGTGTGTGTGAATGATGGTGGTGATGGCAGATAAGCACTGTAGTGATACTGTTATTCTAAGAGTTGGTTTATCACTTAGTAGGTGTTGATTGTGTTCACAGTATTAGTCCATACCTTGCCCTTCACTGCCTGACCCTGCTCTAGAGGGAAGGGGATGTTACCTTCTGTGGTCTGTCCAGCATTTGAGGGGGGAGGTTTTGAGTTTCTTGATCCTGCAGCTCTGACTTGCTTTTCCAAAGGGTCCAAGGCACACTTTGTGGTATGTGATTTTGTTCTAAGCATGGGTTTCACTGGTACTACTGCCTCTGCAGCATTGCCTAGATAGTTTGAGGTGGGACAGGAGTAGTGCTTATAACACGAGCAGCTGACAGTGCTAGAGGAATAGAACAGTAAGTAGAGGCATATGAAAGAGAAACAGCTGGGCACATGGCCTTTCTTATGACAACCTCCTCAAGGAAAGCCAGGTAGAGGGAAGTAATAGAAGCCATGCCAAGCACAGGCCTGCCAGGAGGGATTGAAGCAATGTTTGGAAAAAAATCGAACTGTTCTTCTAAAAACAAATCTTATCATTTTGGGGAGCTTTGTTTTGGACGTGCTTGTATTCAGCTTGTAGGAGTTGTGATTACTTAGCATTTTGTCAGTAGCTGGAGTACTGATGGTGCCTGGAACTGTTGTGTGTGCGTGAGAGGCTGCTGCTATTAGTACGTGCAGCTTCTGTTTCCATGTCAAATTCACTGGGGCAGCATATTACTTTAAGTGAAGAAACACTAAAATGTCTTTCATAAGTGTGTATAGTGGCAGTGGAATTTAAGCTTAATGTATTCTGTGTTCAATTGAGCCATTGTAGCACTTGAAAGTGGAAGTTATGACTGTAGTATCAAAGCCGGTTTAATAAATTAAACATTTTAAAGCTCTTCAAACATAATTTAAAGAAAACCCAAACTCTGAGTTATAGTCATTCTGTTTCAAGTCGTTCTGACATGTGTTTGTGTTTCAGTTCTGACATTAAGTGTCTTTTGAACCCCTTGATGAGTGAATATTTCCAGCGTAGCTGTTAGAACCTGGAATTCCCAGCCACTTCCAGAACTTGAGATTTATCTTTTTTTAACATTAGCAGCTTCAAAAGACCAATTACTAAACTCATTTGAATGTCAAGACAATGGCATGAAGCAATAAACTGGCTATCACAATATAGTTGTTTGGTTTTGTCTGTGAGATTTTACTTTAACCTTTTTTTCCAGTGTGTGTATCTATCTGTATTTATACATAAGGTGAGTGCTGGATACAAATTATCCAGTAATATTTGAGCCTTAATACAAATTGGAGCCTGACCCAATCAGTCTATATCTACAGTTTAACACTGTTAGTGTTAGTTAATCCAAAGTTTTGACCAACATTGCTTCTATGTTCTCTTTTTCTACCAATATCACAGGTGTGAATGAGATCAAAACTAAAGCAGGGTCTCATAGATATCTTTGGGCCAGTTGAAGCCTCCTGAGGCTCACTGTCATATGAAGTATTGTCTATGAAAAATAAGGTCTTGATTATCTTGCCTGAAAGAGCACTGCTCCAGGGATGAGTCAAGGCATAGGTTGCAGGCTCCAGCATCTAACAGGTTGAGACATGAAAGTCATTAGGCTTCTGACTCGTATTACATGTAGTCTAAGGGCCAGAAGCCTAATATGAACCTTTCATCTGTGGGCCAGGTACCAGAGTCATCTTTCTTTGAGAGATTGAAAGGGTGATATCTAAACCAGCAGCTTTGGAGTCCCAGTGACTTGCTGGTGTGAAGGAGACCTGTCCTGATAGAGCAGTCTCTGCTTTGGAGCAAGTGTATGTTTCCTTCTCCTTTTGGGTTCAGTAGCATCTCATCTTGTGCCTCTCTTTTTTTTCTCCTTTGTGGGCAGTAGAATAGGAATTGGACAAAGTACTTTAAAAAGGGTTCCTTATATGATATCGGGCAAAGACTTCTAGCTTGCAGGGCTCATTTTCCATAATTATTTTGTTAGATCCCCCAAACTGGTTTGTGACTTGATGTGTAAAAAGCCTACTGACAGATATCCATTCATTCCTCCAAAGAAACCTAGGTGAGACTATAAAAGCATCTTGCTACTGATGCTGGGTCCCTGCCCTTTTCTATGGAAAGGCCAATGAGGGCTTCTTTCAAATGTTCTTGTGATTGAAGAACACAAGGAATTGAAGACTATCTGTGTTTTGGCCTAAGATTGACACAGTGAAGCAATCCAGCAGACAAGCACCTTATCTAACAGATGATTTGAATTGAGTAATCCTAGAATTTTAATTTCTGAAGCTAAAATAATCCTAAAAAAAACCCCACCCAAAATTCATTTAAAAATCCAGTAGTGTAGAATTCAAAGGAGCCCAGTTATCTTCCAGACCAGGGTGAACCTACTGTTTTCACAAGGAAGATCCCATATGATTATTTTATCTCATCAACCAGCTTCAGGTTCTTCCAAGCCACCAGTGAGACCATGCCTCAGACATGATCTCATGCAGCTGAATAATACAATTTGCCAGACTTAGGCTTCAAGAAGACGCAATTTGAATTAGTATATCTACGAAGAAGACCTAATGTCAGTCTGCTGAAAGAAATAGGAATTTTCTTTAAATGCCTGAAGAGGGGGCAGATGTCCTTTTGTGCAGCTCTCTCCACCAAGATGGTAGACCTTGATGCGTTCACTCATATTGTTCCTCCTGCTTTTGAGCTGTTGACTGATGGATTTTATTCATATGTCCATGTGAGTGGACGAAACTTACTGTTTTGGAATTTCTTCTGTTTCAAACTAGATCATGCCCTCCTCTTCTCAAAAACCTTTCATTTGCTTGAACTTACTAGATCTGCAGGATACTATTTGGCAACACAAAGTTGTCTGTTAAAGATTTGGGTGCACTATTTTTTTTATTTTTTTTTTTTTTTGCAAATGAAGATTTAAAAAAATAGGTGTGCTTTCCCCATGCCTCAGACATGATCTCATGCAGCTGAATAATACAATTTGCCAGACTTAGGCTTCAAGAAGACGCAATTTGAATTAGTATATCTACGAAGAAGACCTAATGTCAGTCTGCTGAAAGAAATAGGAATTTTCTTTAAATGCCTGAAGAGGGGGCAGATGTCCTTTTGTGCAGCTCTCTCCACCAAGATGGTAGACCTTGATGCGTTCACTCATATTGTTCCTCCTGCTTTTGAGCTGTTGACTGATGGATTTTATTCATATGTCCATGTGAGTGGACGAAACTTACTGTTTTGGAATTTCTTCTGTTTCAAACTAGATCATGCCCTCCTCTTCTCAAAAACCTTTCATTTGCTTGAACTTACTAGATCTGCAGGATACTATTTGGCAACACAAAGTTGTCTGTTAAAGATTTGGGTGCACTATTTTTTTTTTTTTTTTTTTTTTTTGCAAATGAAGATTTAAAAAAATAGGTGTGCTTTCCACTGCCCAGAAAAAAAACAAAACAAACACCCTCAATGTTTTTATTCCAGGAAAGATGTATAGAAGATGACGGTCTGCTAAAGCAGCCTTTCTCAGCTGAGAGCTGAGGCATATGCATGCTGTCCCATTGTTCCTTATGGTCACTAGAGAGTCTGAGGAAAATGGGTTGAGGCTTTAGGATTTATGATTGTGAGTACAGGAAGCACAGGCCTCTTAGTTCTGATATTTGAACCTGAGCAGCCCTGCTTTCCTCCTTTCAGTGCGTTGTCATCTTGCAGTAGGGTTGAACTCTTTGCTTGGAGTTGGCATTCCTACATCTCTCAGCCTTATAGCTGTCTGTATGGTATCTACGAAAACTTATTGTGCACCAGCTAAGACAACTTCAACTGACTATCAGAACTAAATGGGAAGATGTTTAACTTTGATCATATGAGCATCAGCTGTCTGGTATCTTGGATATCAGCAATATCAGCAGTGTTGTCTATCTCATAGGTTCAAAGCATCTGGACTTTTAATTAGTTCTGTCCAAGTCATCTGGTACAAATATTTGCATAACACCATGACACTGGATTGCCACATCCTGTATTCCCACCACAGAATGGGAAGATTTGTTTAAAACCCTTGTATATATTTCTTTGTAGAACCTTTTGGGGTATCTGTTTGCATTGCTACACCTCCGGTCTTGAGTTAGTCCCTGCATATGAAGATGGATTCTTCTTATATAGTATTTCACAATACTTCCAAATTTCTGCCCAGGGCTGTTTCAGGTTTTCATATGTACCAATCCATTCGTGTCCCAGTTTTCTTACCCAATCTTCACTCTCAGCCCTCAGGGAAATCAAATTTCACACACTTGGAT